AAGGTATGTTATTGAAAAAAAAGTCTGTGGATCGTATTTATTAGTCAATGACTGATAGATTTTGAAATTTCCAGAAAGATGGGAAATTTTATAGCTTCAGATACGCAATACTTTGAAAATGATAATATTTAAGTTTTTATTAACAAAATGTTAAAATTTTGTAAAAAAATTAAATTAAAAATGATATGTATATTTGCAATACAGACCCAATATGCCAATATAGACCAATGCTAAAGGCTTCGTATCAGGAAAGCAGATATATGATTAAGTCATGGGTGTTGCTTTCGGCAGTGATATCGTACTGCAATCTTCTTTTAATTATGATTCAATAAACTAAAAAGAAACCCTAACAAACTTTTATAAGTAAAGAAGGGATTTGCGCAAAAGCTTAAACCTCATTTAGTTGCCCAACATTGAGTATAGTCCAAAGCGCAGAAAATTGAGTAACTGACCAATATCAAATTGTATATATATCGATTTTAACTCCACCGCTCTCGCATATTTTAAGTTAAAAACTGCTTACTCTAATCAGATTTCATACAGCTCCTTAAAATATGCAAACATAATAGAGAAAGGTTTACCTTTTCCATATAAATCACTCAGTATAGCTTACGGCCCTTCGAAATACTCAGCAATATTAAAACAAGCTTCGTCTCTGCATAAATCAGTTAGTGAATACGCGTATACTTTTCGTAAAAGCAGTTACAGAAAGGTAAATAAAATTATATCTTTTCAGCAGTTTTCACCTGCAACGTACAACAAAATCTTTTGGTTAACTAGCCAACTTGTCATGCGCTTAGTGCAGCTTTGTACGCAGACAACTTTAATCCGCAAATAATTAACTAGCGCGAATGGACTCTAAGAGGGGTGAACAGCAAATGCATGAGCGAGTAAACGGTAAACGTAGAGTACGCAGCTAACTGTTACCTGCGCCAAGAACGCTTTAACATCTCATCTGTCAAAATATTATGCTTACGAAGAAAATATATGCAACTAAAAGTAGACAACAAAATTGCAAAGACGAGGTAAGTAACTTGAAGAGTTTGAAGAATATAAATTCAAAGGGCGCTAGCGGGTTGAAGGGTTGTCAACCAGCATGCAATTTATGATTTACTACACACCAAGGGGTTGCGCGTTGACAATTTATGACACAGTGTTGCTATGATGATGCTGAGGAGGTAAAGAATAATCGGGGAATATATATATATATATATAGCATCTTTTTGCTTGCATAACGGGTAGCAGTAACAAGAGTAGAAAGCGTTGAGTGGCGCATGAAAAGATAAAAATAAAAACTTTGCATAGTTCGATGAGAGAGAGAATTTAGGGGTGAGATGGAACGCGAAGGTTACTAAGTAATCGAAGCAACTTGTGCTTTTAGACATCTAAAGTTCATTGGCTGCATTTGTTAGTACGAATGTGGGCAAATAAGCAAGTAAGTAAGTAAGAAATTAAACAAGTAATAATAAGTTTTAAAAATAAGTTATATAATAAGGCAAATTGCCTACAAGTGTTAGCGGCAATGTTTCGCTTAATGAGCAATGTCCATAATTACAGCTCAGAGATGTAATTGGATTAACGCTGTAAAAATAAACTTTATGATTTTCATAATTAAATTTCATGTTTTAATTGCGAGTAATGAAAATCAATTTTTAACTCTTCCTTGTAAGCTGCTTGTTAGATAAGATAAGCAGCGTAAAATCCTTTTTTGTTGCTGTATTTTGGTAAGTGCTAATTTTTGTGTGGTGAGATATTTAAGATTGCCAATTTGACTAAAACAAATGTTTGAGGAAAATTAAGTAAAGAGTTATGGGTTTCAATTGTAATAATTTTAGGTTTTATCAAAAAATTTTAAAGTAGAATTGCCATATGACATGCAATTTAAACTTGAGATTTATGTTCAACATTTCTTTGGCAATTCTTTTATTGTCCGTGCATCAATATTATTTGTGCCAACCGATTTAGAATTTTTCAACCGCTACACTTCTGCTTGTACTTCAGTCAGTTTTAGGTAAAGTATTTATGCATTTGACATAGACTCTTATGAAAAGTCTGAAGATTCTGGTGCTGATAGCCACTATAGAAAGCAAAAGACTTAAAAGTATTCGCAAAGTGATTGCTAAAATCGTTTTTGAGATATTGATCTGAAGTTTTGCACCCGTGTTTTTCTGATGAAACTGATATTCAATCACTATAATATATGACTGTCATACAAACTGAACGATCGGGAATAAAGAGCTTGTATGGAAAATTACATTTGAAGAGATTTTTTCACGAAATTTGACGTGGCCATTGCCTAAAGCGGAGAATCAGATAGCACAAAGCTTCAAACTGAACGATTGGGAATAAAGTGCTTGTATGGAAAACTTTCCATTTGACTGACATGAATTACCTTCCACGGCAATGATATAATCTCCAAAGAAATTGTTCGGATCGAGTCACTACAGCATATTCCGGTTTTCCAAAAGGGATGATATGATTTTTAGGTGTCATTTAGGTCACTTTTAATATATTGTGATGTGTAATTTTCGTATTTACAATTTCATCATAAATTCATGATATACGCAAGAACAACGTTTACAAGTTACTCAATTTTATTATCAAAATAATTATTTTCCAGTTGCATATTTTCGTATGCTTTTGTCAATTTATGGTCGTAATAATCTTTATCCTGTACTCACTATTCGTGGAAATGTTAAAAATGTTAGAAATTTCGAGCATATATTTTCTTTACATAATGTGAAGTGCCAATAAGAACTGCACGAATTAATGAAAATATTTTTGCCGTTCAGGTGTTCAGTGTTGCTGAAGACCCCAATTTGTCAATACCAAGACGTTCTTATGAATTGGCACTGTCTTAAGCCGCTACCCGGCGAATTTGGAAAAGAATCCATATAGCATTGTTCTCACTCAAGAACTGAATCCATTGGACCACCGTAAACGCCATTTGATATGATTTTTGTTTGATGGATTGATGACAATCCGTACTTCTTTCAAAATGAAGCTGGTGGCACCACTACTGTCAATCGAGAGTGATATAGATTGATGATAACAAACTTGTTATGGTCGCAATTTTAAAAAGTTGACCTTGACAACATCTGGTCCCAATAGAAAGGAGCTTTCTGCCACACAGCACGTGCAACAACCAAATTATAGCAAGTTTGTAGATTTGATTATTTCAAGAAATTATGACATTGAATGGCCATCAGGAAGTTGTGATTTAACATCATTCGACTACTTTTTATAGGGTTGTTTGGAGAGTGATCTTATATTTAGAACGTTTTTTTTTTTTATTGGAATACCCTATAGTTGCTATTCAAAAACATTGATCAATGCTCCTGTACGGCATCCTTTGTATTTGTGAAAGGTGTAATAGTTTCGGTGCAATCAAAGTTGATGGTTTCTTGTGTTTTTTATTATAATTTGTTTACTTTTTGGTGAAATCCCATATTACGTTACCCGACCAACCGATCTCGATAAAATTTGGTGGGTAGCATTCTCCTTACATTCTTATGTCACAGCACTACAACCCACCAACTACAACAACGCCTACTTTCCATATAGCACAATTTTAAATTCCAGTTGAGTCGTTCAGTTTCCAGTACAGAAATCAAGAAGCAATTAATATAACGCGAGAAATTTTGCACGAATAATGTCTTTGATGTGTGCCATTTTATGACCAAATATTGTCGAAATCCAACCAAACCTGTTCAAGACCCTAGGTACCGAATATGTGTATCTATAGTTGACTTTTGATCGAAAATCTCGGTCATCGTGTGAAATATTTATATATCCGTAATTAAGGGACAATCCTTCTCTTATATAGGTCTGTATGCCAAAATTCGGGTTGAATCGGATCAATACTTCCCTTAATCCCCATGTAACGCATATAGCGGCCAATAATTATTTCTATCTTTCTGATGATCAAAGTTGCAGAATATGACCTGGCGAATACTTCACAGAAATTTGGAGACTCTGAAACAATATTTGATTCGAGCTGTCAATACATATAGAAAAAGAACGTGCCGAAGGTCAATGACTGAATGATTTGAGGACTTGTTTGAAAGCAAGAGGTGCTCATTTCGAATAAAATTGTGAACATCACTCACTTAAAATATTAACGAAGAAATTAACTGTGATATGGTTGCCATGTTTTTTTATTATTATTTTTTTTTGTAATTATAGGAAATAATTTAAGGAAAGTTGGCAACCATGCTTTTAATTCTTTTAATAAAACTTTCATTATAAATTATAATACCTCAGGCTCTAACTTTAATTAATGCTTAAATGCATTATTAAATGATAAATACAAATTAAAAACATTTTAAAAAATGTTTTAATTTAAAAAAAAATTTTTTTTGACCTTATTTGGGGTTAAGTGCCAATCTTAACTACTATAAGCAGCTTCTTTAAAATTTTAAGAGCAAGTATTTGTAAGTTCTTTCAAGCTCAGTACTTGCAAACAATAGTTTAGCTAATCACATATGCATATTTTTTCTATAATTTAGTCTTTAGCTTCCGAGTTGCCTCCAAATGCTGATTAATAGCGCCATAAACTGAAGGAATTTGCACCACTTTTTTACTACCTCAGGTGTAACTCAAGCACTTATAATATTTTAACCCTTTGCTGGTAAAATTTTACAACATTTTAACTAGCGACCATTTAATTACAGCACAGAAAGGCTGAGTAAAAAGTATAAAACCGTTAAGAATCAACCCAAAAAGTAACATAATAGCAGCTGTCATGCATATGCGCACAGAAATATGCTATTACCATATGCGCAGTAAGAGCGCCATAAAATATGCTGCATATGTGGTATGTAGTAAACCCAAATGTATTATAAAAGCAGGCGCTGAGGAGTGACAGCGGTTTTAACGCATGCTGAATGCGCTAACCCATACACATGCATTTATTGCCAGTAAAAGTATGCATTTCATAACAGCATGTTGGTGCACGCTTATAATCTACCCCTACCAGAACGTCTTATTTCGGTACTCACCATCTTTTATCGAGTAGCGCGGATTGCTCATATCGACCTTTGTCTGATTCTTAATCCAGTAAATTGTGGGCGTTGGATTACCAATGGCTTTACATTGCATAACCGCTGTATGACCGACTTCGATGACACGTGTGCTGGGACCCTGAGTTATTACCGGAAAGCCGGGTGGCGTTTTATCACCTATAAGAATAAAGAAAGGAGAAGAGTGGCATGAGTGAAGCATGAGAGCAAGCAAAAAAATATGTAAAATAAAATATATTTTAATAAAAAATAGTATGTATAATATTTTGTGATAAAACATTTTATGCTAAATTATTATTCGTTAAGCTATGTGGAGTTGAAATATGAGCTATAAATATCTGAAAGTGAATGCATTAAAGCTATTGCACACATATATACACAAATATGCAAATATTCCTAAAATTTTTTTTGTGCTCGTATTCATCGTGTAAAGCGACGCCGCAACGCTAAAAGCGGCGTTGCCATTAAGACTCTTTGTTTCGCGCGCAAGAAAAGAAGTGAAAAGCCAATAAATATGCAACTGTAAAAATGAGCCGCAAAGCAAAAACAAGAAAAAACGTTAGGCCCGGTTACCTGGAAGCTAGAATACAATTCAGAAATAAAAAAGTTTCCATACAAGTACATGATTTTGATGGGTTGTTTATATGGCAGCTATATGTTATATTGGTCCGATCTGAAAATTTTGTTTCGTAAGTTTAAATGTTGCTTTAGATAATATTTTTTGCAAAATTTCGGGAGAATATCTCGAGAAATAAAAAAGTTTTCCATACAAAGTAAATTTTGAACGTTCAGTTTGTATGACAGCTATATGTTATATCAATCCGATCTGAAAAGAATTTCGAAATATTTTAGCATTGCCTTGGAAAATATTTTGTGCAAAATTTCGTGAAGATATCTCGACAATGAAAAAGAATTTCCATACAAGAACTTTGTTTTGCTTGTTTGGTCAGTTTGTATTGCAGCTATAAGCTAAAATGATCCGATCTAAAAATATAGCGTTGCATTCCGAAATATTTTAGGAAAAAATTTCGTTAAGATATATTCAAAAATGAAAATGTCCTCCATATAAGAACTTGATTTTGAACGTTCGGTTTATATGGCAGCTATATGCTGAAGTGATCCGATCTGAAAAGAATTTTGAAATATTATAGCATTGCCTTGGAAAATATATCATGGAAATCTTTGAGAAGATATATCTATGATATATGATATATATATGATTTTCTACGGCCAGTTTGTATGGTGGCTATATGCTATACTGATCCGATCTGAAAAATTTATTAAGGGATTATAGTGCTCTCTTAGAAAATATTGCGTGCTAAATTTGGTCAAGATATCTCCTCCAATAAATATGTTCTCCATACAAGAACTACACTCTATATGTTAAAAATTTTATTGAATATACATTTACATATAGATATATCCGATGCTTACTTCTAGCTGTTACAAACTTCACGGAAAACTGTTCAGGGTATAAAAAGGTACAAATACAACAGAGGCGAGAAAGGGAACAGCAAATACTCGCTGCCTTCGCTTATGACTTTGGCGCGACGCAGCGGCCGGTGGTAATTAAATAAATTTTACGCTTGCATAATAGCGGCATTTTACTGCACACACACTCGCACTCCCGTGCATATTACACACCACTACCAACTTACATACACGCGCACACACACACACTTCCTTTTCCGTCTGTTGTTCAACCTTTGTGCGCTAACATAGGCGCGCGTATGGAGCGGTAATCGCCTTTGTCTGTGTGCTGGCGCGGCGCGCAAAAAACTTTCAACAGCAAACGGAGGTAATTGTCATAGCCGTTGCCGTCGTTGTTCCTCACCCCAAGCCTTCTTGTTTTATGCGCTTTTGCATATGAAAGGAATTTTTTTCTCACATGCATATTTATGTAATAATGCTTTTTGCGCCGTTTTTAGTTTACTTTTGGCCAAGGAAACTTTTTAATTCACTTTTACATTTATGCATTCTGCTTTAAAATATCAATGTTTATAGCTGCAAAAGTCCAGCTGGCGTTGGTTTAACCGAAACTTTGTTGGATTTTTTAATTTGCATAAGCGTAGAGCAGAAAAATGAAAATGCACTTAAAACGTGCATATACATATGTATGAACATACAAATATATAAACTCTTTAGCGAAGCCTAATGGAATTGTGAGTTTTGAGTGATAACAATTAAGAAAAAATTATAATATTTTAATAATCTTTGTGATATGAGCGCAAAAATAATTGAAAAAAAAAGGTTTTTTTCTTAAAATTTAAAAAAGAAGGTTGTTACAATGTTTAATAGTT